CAAATTATCGTCACGTGATCGGTACGTGCCCGTAAGCAGAAATATCACGTGACCGGTACGTGTCCGTAGACTTTCCGGGTGACAAGCACTCAGAGAGGTTTCGTTATCACGTGATTATATAGAAGATAGCTATATAAGAGTATGTATGTATAAATGCTCATAAAACTGTTAAAACTCTTGGTGAATGGTGTGAAATTGGTAAAACCAGTGAAATTTAATATAACAGCCAATCAGATTTTAGATGTTACCAGTTTTTACCAGCATTATTTATTTTGATCAAGTCTATAGAGTACAACTGTATTAACAAAAAATTTTACAATTCTATCTATAATTCTCATTATTTATGGTGAATAATGTATATTGTACACATAAATTATACAATTTTTCTGAAATTAAATCTGCTAAAGTGAAAACTTAAATTTATTTGTTTTCACTCTGCAACACTCATGTGTCGATGAATCAATCATGATTTCAAAGATTTATAAATCATTATCGCGTTTTTCAAATAGAAAAATATGATCGGTGAAAATTTGATTCTGAAATGAAATGTTGAGAATTTTTAAATTGCAATTTTTTTTACCAAAAGATGATTTTCATCATTTATATCTGGTAATATCTGGACTATATTATATTATTCATTATCTTCCGCTTGCACACCAACTCAACAGTTTTTAATTAAGTGCAAAATTAAATGCAAGTTACAGAAAATGATCAAATAATAGAAATTGCTTTAAAACAAAACGACTTCGACACTTATTCCACATGAACTACATGTTTGTGTTGATATTCCAGTTTCAGGATCTTCAACCGCCATCCCGAACTCATGTTTATGTTCTCGGTACCTATTCTTTTCTAACTCATCAGTTCTTGTACGCTTTCGAAGATCTTAAGATAAAATTTATATTTATATTTTTTACAATGCGAAGTTTCTAATGATAAGTTTTTTTTATAATCGCGTTACCTGCAAGTTTTGATTTAAATTTTTTATCCTTCCTCTTTTTTTTCTCATTCTGACGCTTTTCAAATTCTTTGTCAAGTGCTTCAGCACCTCCCCATTTTTTAAAGGAGAATTCTTCCACCTTCAAAAAATGATCTTAGTTGTATACTGTAATGCAAGATGAAATACCATACTATCGACTAAAAGTACCTGCTCTCGAAGATATAACATCATATCATTCCAAGTCGATTTGTGTGGATTTGGTTTTGACAAATGCGGCAAGCGTTCTTCATCCTTTAATTCAGCTAACATTATATTCGATTATTGGGATTGATAATGGCGGAAACGTTTAATAACAAATGAATTATGATTCTCACCATCCGTTAATAAGTAGTCCTAAAAGCCCATTAATAAAAACTGAGGTTAATTACTTGCATAAAATGAATTCTATAAATGAAGAATTGAGATTTACCTCTTTCGCTTCAGTTTTTGTTAGTAAACTATACTTTTCAGGAAACTTTTCCTTGCAAGTTTTGCAGATATTTATGCGAAATGTCCGATGAAATTGATAATCTATTTCTACAGATTTGCATTCTTTACATCTCGGATTTTCAGAAAGAATAGGATTGATGGCTAGATAAGTATAAAATTAATTTAAGAGCCAAGAGATACTACCACATTCTTAATAACTGAGGTCAAGGGAAGAAAGCTAACGTGGATCTTCTGGCTCGAGTTCTCTCAACTTTCGTTTTTTTGAATTATCAACTGAATCTTCAAGTAAAAATCCACCTCGTGTATTTTCCATTTTAGAAAAATCATAATCCGCATAATTCTGAAATTTTTTCATTGGACGTAGTTTTTCCTCACGGTTACTTGCATTCGTGCTAGTCGTCGATTCTGTATTTTGCTGCTCAGTTGGTGTTTGAGAAGTTCGATTAGATCTATTTTGCAGCCTCTCCAGTTGTATTGCCATTGCTTTGAAACGATTCTCTTCTATACGTTTTTTTACTTCCGGAGACAAAGTTGAATATGAAAGAGTTTCTGCTACCGGACAAGTGCCACCCTCACTATTCGGAATTTTTTCGTTTTGGTCTGTCATTTTTCTTATAAACGTCTATCGTTAAAAGAAAAAAGCTGTACCCGATGGTCCATTTACGTACGTACGTACCAGGATTATCAGTTATGTTAATCACGTGATTACATAGTAATCGAAATTGAGTTGAAATTGATTGGTTAAAACTTTAATTTTTAAATATAGTATATAATAAAATAACAATAATGAGAATGCTAAAGTTTTTAAAAATAAATATACAATTTGGTGACTTTATTAAAATTATCACCAGCAATTTTCCTTTTTAATAATACATTATTTAAACGTGAAGTTTATGCAATTTAAAAATATTGAATAGATTTTTGCACCGTAGTTACCAGGAATGGAGTAAACGAAAATTTACAGTTTTAAGTGATAAAATAGACGCGTTGCTAAGCTTTTCAAACATTGTAAAATTTTACTTCAGTCAATTAGGCCATGCAAAATTAATTATTGGTTTTCATAATCTGGCCGGGTCAAATTTTGAAAATTTGTAAAAAAAAAAATTTATTTTAATAACCGGGTGTGTAATTTTTATAAAATTTTTATGTATGAAATTTAAAAAAAAAGCCGGCCGGTCGGATCTGTTTAAAAGTTTCATGTTATGAAAACCAAGATATTAAATTTGTGTGGCCTTAAACCCTAAATTTTTTTACGAGTTAATTGGTAATAAGCCGGTACACCAACGGCTGCTACTACAGTAAATCCTTGCGCAAATACACGAAATCTTAAAAATCTCTGCATAGTTTTCGAGTCGCCTCTTTGATATCCTACTGTTGCTCCAAGTAAGGCTAAAACTGTCAAAGTCATGCCTAGTTATTTTTTTCAAAAAATATTAATCAATTTTACGAGTTTAATAAAAACGAAATGAATTGGACATACCAAAAGGTATCAAAGGTTGATCTTTAAGTTTTCGAAGGAAATAATTATTATAATTATTTTTTTTATAGTCTATTTGTTGTGGAACGGTTTTAGGGTCTGGTTTTTCCATCTTGATAATAGAAAATAAAATTTTTAAGCGACTTTTGTCGAATATAATCTAAGTGCAGATCGTGAGAACCGATGCTGCCCTTTACCCTTCTGCGCAGCCAATTAAATTTCAAGATCAGGTGTAACACGAAGTTTAAGAAATTTCGCTACGTAATGATAGCGATACGTATATATATGTTTATATAATAAATGTCGCGGATCATAATGAAATCGGATTAAAATGAAATGAGAGGTTTCTATTTGCTCCCTAAAACCCACTTATACTTGTTTA